AAACTTTAAAAATCAATTTTAATATTATATACCGTCGTTATTCTATGATCATCTCACAATTTTGATTGGTCGATCGGTCAACAAAATCTAACAAATCACAATAAAAGTTCGCTATGCTTCGTAACAGTAGAACGAGCAAGGAGCAACACCAATCGGTGGTTTCCTGCCTGCTCGAAACATGCTGGCTGCAAAATAGAAAAATGGCAGAATCAGGAGACTACAGTGTGTTGTGGGAGAGGTTGGGTCGAGAGATTTATTTGCCAAAAACTATTGTCAGGGACCCGTAAAATTTTAGTTTTAAACCTCGAATTTTTTTATGATAACAACGGCTTAAATTTAATAAATTTCAGATAAATTTTGATTTAAATTTAGAGTTTTATAAGTTCATTCTTTTATTTTGTTAAAATACTTAATAATTTAGTATTTAAATTTTGCCATTAAATAAAAAATCAAATCGCACCAAGTCACATAAATTTATGTCTCTAGATCACAGCATCAATATCCAATACAAACTAATCATATACTGTATGTCTTAGAAGTTAAATAAGTTAAGTTTTGTATAAAATTTTTATTAAAATAAAATACGTATCACTACTGCACTAGGGATAAGCAAATCAAATATTTTTTTTGATCTACTGAGGCCCACATTTTAGTTTACTGCTAATGCAGGCCAGAATTAATGATGGGTGACGCAACCACGTGATGCCAATTGTCACATGCTATTACTCAAAATAGATTGTCGATTTTTTATAAGTAATAGCATGTGACAATTAGCATCATGTGGTTGCGTCACCCATCATTAGTGAAATTCTGAAATACGTTACAAAATTCCGAACTATTATACCTGCGCAGCATCCTATTCCTACGTATCATTAACTATAATATAATATGGAAATTTTTAGAAAATTTTAATTAAAATTGATAATTTTTGATATAAATTCCTTAAAATTTAAAAATTTTAGAAAATTTGAGTTAATACTTGAAATTTTAGATTTTTTGAAAATTTTATATCTAAAATTTCACGGGTCGCTGGAGATTGTGCCAGAGTGGGAAAGAATGTCGAGAGCAACTTGCTATCGGTTATTAATATCGATTGTGTTCGGTGACTTTTCTATTACGTATTTCTGGTTGCATGTCAATTCATGCAATTTGACTGATTGATTCGTTCTCGACCCATGCCTCTTGTCCTGTGATTTGATGGCAGGGTTGTAGCACGTGATGTGTGACCCTGACCAGTTTTTCCCTTTCTTTTCAATCCGTTGTCCCTTGTCAACATGCATTTTCCTAGCTGACTTGATGTACTGTACAATTACTAAATGTTTAATTTTGACGCTTTGAAGTTTGGCTGGTTTGAAAACTATTAATATTTTTTGATAAATATTGGCATTGGTCAAATTGAGTATTTATAAGATGGAATCATATTCAACGAAGTTTTGTATTATTTGGTTTAATGATACAGTTGGATGCCATTGTTTATTACTTACATTATTTAGATGATAGTGTTAAAGAAGTTAACATTGGTGTCTGATTATTCAAAGTAGATAAATTTTGTAAATTCGTAGAGGAGATCATTGTGAAGTGCGAAAACATTGAGTAATCTATAGGGTCGTTGCTGACAATGGGAGTAGTTGGATAAAGCATTAATGGAGATTAATCAGCACCTAATAATGGTTCTTGGTTATTGTTAATTTGGAAAGCATGCGAGAAGAATTATTGAACGCAGGATCATTAAAATGTTATTCCTAAAGTACTAATATTTCTCTGAGAAGATAATTCGATTTGATTTTCATATATTATAAAGTCAGAGACAGATTTACACCTCCTATCATCTTGTGAACTAATTATTTTCCCGAGACATTGATAAATAATTCTCAGTTTTTGCTTATTGGTGAATATGTTAAGAATGATCTTTGACTTATTGGCAGAATTAGAAGAGTAAGAATTTGCCATAGAAGTGTGTACGAAATTAAAAATAACAGAATCGCTATAATATTAATCATATAAATAATCAGAATATTTTGCACCAGGTTTATATAGCATCACTACGTCAATTTTTTCAAACAATCATATTTTAATATCAGTAGTCACTTGCATTCATTCGCATAAATGTTGAGGTGTTTATTGGTCGAGAGAAAATCATGTACGTACGTGATGCTTAATGATGCAGTAGAATCGCCTCAATGATTATCGTAACTAGTTTATTACAATATTATTTTTTTCATTAATTCTTTATTCCATGTCTTATTATATTTGTTTACAAAATTTTTATTTACATTCACTTATCATCAATTTAGAGCTTGGATCCGGTGGATAATGGTTATCCGTTTAGTCTATTTTTCGGATAGTCGCGGATTTTGGATATCTGATTTCAAATTATCCGGATAAATCCGTTGAATTAATAAATTATCCGGATAAATCCGTTGAATTAATAAAAAATATAGTCGATTCTAGATATGGTGAATTTTTAATAATAAACAATCTAAATAGAAAGTTTTTGCCAAACTGAACGAATTTTTACTATAAGAATTATTATAAAAAAAGCTAGCCGCAATTAGAATATATGCATTTTATTAATGTTATCAATCACATATACATAGTAATATAGTTCTAAAAAATAAATAATCTTCACTATCCATTATTGTGATATTACGATTATGAATAAGGCATATGGGCCAAGATTTTTGATGGGAACGTTGTGATTAACAAAATTAAGTGATATGATAGAATATGTCTATATTTATTATATATATATG